CCCCAAAACCCCAAAACCCCAAAACCCCAAAACCCCAAGATTTAATTCGGTAGTTGAATTATCTATTGCGAATGTATTTATTCATCTTCTGGATCATTTTATCAACCTCATTTGATCTACGGAGTAACTTATCAAACTTACTCATGGTCAATGGATCGGTTCAATGCTTCTGTTGCTTCCTTTTGCTTGGTAGATATCTGAATAACTTTCTCTTTGAATTTTCCTATCTTCTCGATATCTTTATTTTTCACATTCTTTTTAGTATCTAATAATAAAAATAAAGAATTACAGTCTTTAAATAAGATGCTTCCACAGCCAGGCATACTTGGATATCTTGGGAGGCTGAACTTCGACCTGTACTTTCTGCTGCTTTCCTTCTGATTTGTTCTAAGGATTTAGGAAGAAATTTTACATTAAGTTTCGACTTTTACACTTCTTGGCTATTTGAGGGAGTATCTCTCTATCTGTTATTGCTGACATCCTAAAAATCTTGAGTTTTTATGCATATTAACATGTGAGACAATTTGGTTATACTAAGAATCCTTATTATAAGCTTTAGCAAAAAAATTGAGAAAATTAGCAATACTAGAGAAGATATAATCTTACTCATCTTTATGACCTGTGACAGGGCTTTCTTCCTGAGATTCCTGAATATGTTTGTTATATAAAGAGTACCTCCAAGGTAATATTATGATTGTTTCATACTCGAATCTCAACATTGATGTGCTGTTTAGAATTTTCCATACTTTTATCAGTTGATTTGTGCATCCTATCTATATCAAGATAACCATCAAAGACTAAATATCAATTATTTTCATTTAAGAAGAGCATGCTAATTCATTAAAAACAATCGAAAAATAACCTTTCAAGTCTACCTAGTATCTTGTTCTTTATTCTTTCTAGCACTGGGGCTTGGTCGGGGCTAAAATTATAATCTCAAAATTACTAAAGCTTAGGTTGCTTGAAATTTTCAAAAAACTCGAATTTTTGGTCTAATTCTTTTTGCTTCTTTGATTTTTTGGGAGACTTTTTCTTTGGTTCTAAAATATAACACAATAGATTTGAATCCATGTTACTCATATAACTATTCAATCTTAGACTTACCTTCTGATGGCTGAGGTTGGCTATATCTAAAAGACAACGCTTCTAGGTGACTCTGGTTCCGAGAAAATGTGGATTTTTCTATAATTTATTATATCTGTTTTAAGAAAAACAAATATCATCTAGCAAATTAGCAACGTTTGAACTTTGCAAGAGAATGTTTAACTCACTTTTCTCTAATTGCAACTGTCTGTCAAGATAGCTTGGATTACCATTTGAGGTTTGCTCTGGAGAATGTTTTAAAGTATTTTTTTAAAATTTATCTTTTTGCAATCTGTTAAGAGGTTTGAAAGAGGCCTCACCGAATTTATACTTTTCTTTTACATTATTTGATCTCTGAAGTAAAGTTAAAAAGAGTTAAAGTATTTCACTTACAATGAATTTTTCTTCATATTTTGGAAGGGATTTTGCAGGAATGAATCAATCATCAGATCGATAAACAGTCGTTTGTTTGTTAGATTCTTTCCATTTGAATAAATTTAATTTATTTGTCCAAAATACTTGATCTTGAGTTGGACAAAGATGGGAGTCTCAAAGTTTCTTCCAAATCATAATCAAAATCGACAATATCTGATTCTGTAGCTATATGTGAGAAAAGAAGTTCATAATACCAGTTACTCCTACTTTGTCTTGTGGCAGTTGTATATTAAGAGTGCTTTGATCTGAGAAGGTACGCTGAGGTCCTTGCTGGGCACTCTTCATTTTATTCAAAAGCATTTGCCTGTTCTTGATTATACTCATATTAGTCTTCTGAAATATTATTCTAAATATAATAAGGTATTGGGGTTTTGGGGTTTTGGGGTTTTGGGG